CTTGTGCGTGCGTGCCCAAGATCCCGGGAGGAGAATGGAGGAGAAGGGATTGCGGCGTGACCATCCCCCCTGGGGGGTGATTTCTCGCTTTCTGTCTCTATGTCTCTGTCTGTCTGGCGAGCGCACACGCCCTACAGTGAAAATCTCTCAAAAAAAAAAAAAAAGAAACCAGTCAGTCTGGTTCGGAACTCATATGCACCTAAGTACTGTACCATAATGGTTTCTTAAAATTTATAGCTTTGTTGAATTTACCTTTAAATCATTCTGTTATCAAAATTTTTAAATACTTACATTTCAATTAAAATTTTATTATAAAATCCTTTAATTCTATGACTATCAATGCCTTTTCTATAGCTAGCTACTCAGCTTCTTCTGTATACCAATTCTATACTAAAAGGACTTTTCTGAGGACCATCGGATGGTGTAATGGCTACGTTGCTGGACTCCCATGTAGTCAACTGCAGTCCAAGTCCTGGACCTGGTGGCTTGAACTCACACCAGGCGCGTGTGCGTGCGTGCCCAAGATCCCGAGAGGAGAATTAAGGAGGGGGAATTGCGGTGTGGCCATACCCACTGTGGGGTGATTTCTCGCTTTCTGTCTCTCTGTATCTGTCTTTCTGGCAAGTGCACACACCCTATAGCAAAAACCTCTCCCCCCACCCCCCAAAAAAAAGAACTTGGTTGGATGCTTTCACACATTAGGGTTTTTTCCAGTGGAAAACATGAATTTGTATAAACTAACTTTAATAGTCAAGTTTTATATGCAATGTGTAGTGATAAAAAAAAGTTCCACGTGGCACAAGGACTACATGGTTGACGTTCTCCCCAACTTCATATACAATTCCATACATAAACTTTGTCATTTCTATTATCTGAATTTCTCCTTAGTCCATTCCTTTTCTTTTCAAACCTACTGCAATGACTATTGTGAGGGCACTCAACACTTCCTGACTCCTTCCAGACTCAAATTCCTCCAATATGCCCTATGGTGGCAGTGCAGAGACATGTGGGCGGGGGTGGGGAGCAGTTTTTAAAACAAGTGGTTAAGACTTCCATGGATGAAGCTTAATTAGCCCAAGTCACCATGAATACATATAAAAATCTATTTTTAAAATTTTATTTGCTATTATTATTTTTTAATTTGGCCAGAGAGAGATAGAGAGAAATGGAAAGTGAGAAAGCAAGCCACCAGGTCCTACACTTGAATCACAGTAGGCCATGTGGGAGTCCAGTGCCTCTACTACCATGCCACCTGCCGGCCCCCTAGAAATCTATTTTTAAAATGTACTTTCTATTTAAGTATGGCTTCAAGAGAAATGCCTTATCCCCTCTTTCCAATGAAATTATCCAGACTCTCTCCTAGAAACATCTGAAAAATCAGCTCTGACCCTCTACCACACTAAATCAATTATCTTTTTAAAGTGCAAATGAAGTCATATTATTCTCCTTCCTCTCTTCAAGATTGTTTCTTTACATTTTATTTATTTAGTTTTATTGTTATTATTTTCTATAAGACATGACCAGAGAGTCAGAGAGAAAGAAAGGGAAAGTGAGAAGGCAAGTCACAAGGTCTGGGACTAGAACTGTGGCTAGCCATGTGGGACTCTAGCACCTTAACCACCATACCACCTGCTGGTCCCTTCCTGAAGATTTAAATCCCTTAGAACATCATATGAGGGACTTCACGATTTGGCTACCTTTCTTCTTACCTCTCCTGCTTGCTCTTGCCCATCTGTGCCAGTCATGTTAAGCAATCTGCATTTCTCTCCATATTCTTTTCTATTTTAGGTCTTCATGTTTCCCCTCAAACTACTCAATATATTAGATATGTCCTTTTCCCATCATGAATACCTGGCCAACTGGACATAAAGATCTCTAGTCCAGTCATTCACCAATGACTCAATGGTCTTCACTCATTTCCATCTCTTTCTTTACTTGAAAAAAATCAGCTTTACCTTGTTTATTCCACTGCTTAAAAAACAATGCCTGGTATTCTTAGTAAATATTCAGCTAATCTTAGTAAGTTAGACTTAAATTCTCCATGTAATGTAATAATAGAAGTATGCATATTAATAGAAATATAAATAATATTAATGATAATATTCAAAAATATCATATTTGACAATTGCGGTTTTCATAATAAAATCAAAATATGAAACTTATGGACACATAATGAAATTTTGGACTTTCAGGATTCACTTGTCTAAATGCTTAAAATCACATTTTTAAAAAGCATAGTGGTTCTATTTTAAGAATCAGTTGACACATGCTATATTAGTTCTGTTTATTTGATCATGTTAAGCGGAACATCTTTTCTCTTTTACTACAATAACTAAGTAACTTAATTATGCTAAAGTTGTTCATTTTTTTTTTCATAAAGGAATGGCCACATGTGGAATGAAAAGCATTTTCATTATTCTTTAACAAGATGAATGTCCCATTTTCTGTGATTTGGGGCAGTTTCTTACTAAGTCTGCCAGCCTCTTATGAACATTATGATTTGCAGATGTGTAGTGTGCATTAAAGAACAAGAAGATATCATGAAATATTAGTGACAATTACGTATGGGCAAGGGAACTGGACAGTGTTTCCAAGAGCTGTAAGGACTGTGGAAATGAATGTTACTCCAAGTAGAGTGGTGATTTATAACCAATTTCCTTCTTCAGATTAGGACCCAAGTAAAAGAAAACGAAATTTAGCACAGCATTATGGTGTATCATTTCCTGCAGCAGAAACACCCACTCCAAGCAGTGCCCTCGCAAATACAGTACAACAAGCAGCAACCTGAGGGAAGCCCACAGGCTCGCAGGGCTACTGGCTGGCTCTTTGTCACCAGATGCAGCAGGTTGAATGCAGACATCACTGTGATATCTTCACCAACAAAACGAGAGGCAAAGAACAGGGGCGAGAGCTGAGTAGGAGAAAAAAAGAAAACAAAAGACAAATTAAAACATCACAAGTGTTAAACACATTCACAGTGCAATTGATAGTTACGGTTTATCTGGAACTGCACGCACACGGCGTGCGTGCGCACGCACACACAGTGATAATAAATTTCAAGTGCCTCTATTTCAGACTGTGAGCTTACTTTTAACTCAGGCTTACTTGTATCTTATGAATAAAATGCATGCTATATAATAGCAGTGTAATCTGTGAACACATTTTGCAAGAGGGTGAGAAGAGTTTGAAACAGTTGAAAAGAATTAGCATTTACAGAGTTTGTGCCACACAACAAGAATTGTCTGGGGCCTAATATACACATTGTATTATTTAATTCTTAAAATAAACCTAGGCGGTAGCTCTTATCCTCCAATGCATATGTAAGAATGCAGAGGCTCAAAGGTCCGAGGCCACAAAGCAAATAACAGTGAGAAAAGATAGAAAACCCTGTTATATCTGACTGTCAAGCCCTATTCTTGCCTTATACTACACTGCCTTCTTCCAGCAATTATTTGCAAATCTTACTCCCTAGAGAATACTGTAAAATACTGTAGGATTAAGAGATTCTTTTGTGGGTTTTTTTTAAGAGTTTGATTTTTCTTAAAAGTCAACAATGTAAGGACAACAAATACACATCTTTTTAAAAACAGGGTTAAGATTGAAGAAAGCATAGTGATTATGAATTTTTATTCAATTTAATGATTTATAATTTCTGGTTAGATTCTATGAATACTAATCATGACCTAGCATTTAAAATGGCAAAAGGAGTTTTAAGTCATTGGAAATGAATCATGTGGAAGAACGTCAAAATTTGTAGATGTTAAACTTTAAAGTATGGTTCCTAGGATTTTTCTTAAAAGTTCTGTACACTATTCCAATTGGTGAAGATTAACTTCAAACAAAAATGGAAAGTACTAGATTAATATAAACTTCTTACATTTTATTGAAAATGACCACTTTAAATAGCTTTTACCCTGAAATGTCCAAAAATGGATATAAAATTAATGTCTTGTTCATTTCCTGACCACCTCTCCCACCCCACCACCCCAAAATAAAAGTCTGTTCCTGGACTCTCTGACTTCCTTGAAGAACGAACACATAATAAACAGTAATATATTTTACCAAATCACTCTGGAGTATATCTGACAGAAATCTGCTTGTATTAACATGCCTGAACTCTGACTTCTCCAAACTAAACTCACTCCAAAACTAAAACATTTTTGTGTTACTAACTAAAGACAAAGGGGAGGAAGAGGGAAGGTAAGTATTGCAATCCACAGCCTGAAAGAACCATTAAACATAAATAAACATGTCATTTTCACGAGTGGCTGCAGAGCAGAGCAAAGAGAGCATTCCTTTGGAGCAGACTACCGACTAATAAAAGATCAAAGGTCTATACCTCACAACACTATAAATAAAAATGTATTTTTTGCCTTGTGACCCTTCTCTGTGAGGAATAAAGTGTGCACGGTAAACGCAATTACTTAGCAAAGCTGTAGCCTCATTGTGCTCCCGCAGCTGACCATAAAACGTCTTCCTATTCTGTTTCATCAACTGCTGTACCAGGCGGCCTGGGCGCCTACCGATCACTGTGGCCATCTGGCTTGTGTCAAAGCCGGCGCACAGGAAGAAAGGCAGTGATGTCACTCTGCAGGTCAGGCAAAGAACAAAGATGCATTCTACAATTAAAAGCGGAGGGCCGCAAATACCAGGGGCCCTGCAGCATGATGTGACGGTGTGATTTAATGTCCTGCCTGCACTGCCTTCATTTCTACCCAAATAGCCAGGGCTCCATCTAGTGGCAAATTAGTTTTGCCCAGTTTTTTTGTCGTTTTTTGTTTGTTGGTTTTTTTGTAATAGTGGATCCAGAAAGTGCGTTGTTAGCTTCAACACAGTGGAGCAACCAAAGGGATTACTTTTAGAGTAGTCTAGGTTTTTTTTCATATTGAAGAACACAAGCATGATTTGTCACAATGTTCTCCATTTTCAAACACTGTAAAGCATGAATTTCCTAGGTTAGGACTGATATGATCCTAGTTATTTTAGTGCTTGCAAGGATAGTAGAAAAAACAGCTAAGTACAAAACGCATATAAGATAATATTACTCACACACTACCCTGAAATAGGTAGCTGAGGTGTAAAGTAAAAAACAGTTGTAAAGAATAGATACATGCACTTATCTGCCTTGGTTACGTCCAATTTACTATCTTATACTTTCACAACAAAAACAATCACAGTTAAGAAAGTTCTAACACATGACATCAGGAGCAACTCTTCTACAGAACACAAAAAGCCATATTTTTATGCTGAAATGTTCTAGCAAAATTATTTTTGACTACTGTTTTCCACATAACATGGTTGCACTAAATGGAATAAAACACTTGCACAAACAAATCTAAGCTACACAGCACCTTTACATTCGAGATGTCATATCAAGATGTATGTGTGTAAGCTATGAAGCCAGACTGCCTATGATCACCCATAATTCACTGTGTGACCTTAGACAAATCACTTATTTTCTCAGTGCCTCAGCTGCCTTGACTCTAAAAAAAGTTATTTAAAAAGTTAATTGAATAAAAGTACTTTATAGCATATATATGCTCAGTAAACATTGTCTATTGTTACTATTTAATTGTCAAATATTTACTAAATTTTTTAATTCTATGAATTAGAAAATTTTAACAGCCCATTTTATATTCAACCCTACTTAGAGTTAGCAAGCCATTCTGCAAAGAATCCTATTTAAGCCTATGCTGGATTTCTGCAGTGAGATCAATCCTAAAGATAACTGTGGACGAAGCTCTTGGCATAAGCCAGGCACTATTCTCAGCACTTTACATACATTATGCTTTCTTAATCTTTACATGCTTATAAGGTACATACTACTATTTCCCCATTTTTAGATGGAGAGACTAAGGCACAGAGAGATTAGGTAATCTGCCTAACGCCAATGGTTAGTAAAGGCCAGGGACCTTTGGTGACTGCGTAATTTAATAAACAGTGGAACCCGGGTCCTCCAGCTCCAGGGTCAGTGCTCTTGACCATGACACAGCTGGCAATGAAGACCTGACTCTCAGTGTTCTGATTCCACATGTACTATTAGACAGCATGGCTGAAGATACTAAAGATACTTCAGATAATCTGAAAATTCTCTCTCTTGACACTGAGAAAGAAGTAAGGAGTTAAGGATGTAAAAAGTGAAACACTATGGGTCCAGCAGGTGGTGCGGTGGTGAAGGGTGCTGGACTCCCATATGGCTGACTACGGTTTGAGTCCTGGACCTGGTAGCTTGCTCTCCCTCCCTCTCTCTCGCTCTTCTCTCCCCACCAGGGGTCAAATTTAAGTAAGTAAATAAAGTTAAATAAAATAATCTTTTTTAAAAAAAGAGAAACATTCTGAGATTCCTAGATATGATCTTTCTGTTCCACCAGAAACAATTCCTTATCACATCCAAATTTTTTCTCTAAATTTAGTAGATACAACTTTAGGATGTACTGTAAGGATCCGTAGAGTTAACTCCACTTGACTCTACCAAAACTTCAATATACTGGTTAACACGGTACTTCTGAGGACCAAATAAAGCAGCAGTTACTTTTCACCACTCCTCAAAAACATTCAAGTTTCAATCCAGCAGTTTTATTTCTATTGTACTCCTGAACTGCCTGGGTAACAATCCTAGCCAGAAACAATCCTACAGAAAAAGCAGGCAACACAAGCACACGATTCTGAATGGTGGCAATATATGGGGAAATAATCAGCACTAAATTCCTGTTAAAATCCACACTAAGCAAGGACCACCAGAAAATTCCCAAACACCACCATTACTCCCCAAGGTTATCCTCAACTTCATTATTCATGTATTGCCTTTGACTCAAATAACTGCATGAATGAACAACATTTACAGATGATCTACATATTTTTTTTTGAAAGTCAGAAAAGATGTCCCATGCATCTTTCTAATATCCCATAGTCTTTGGAACATAATTTTGAAAATTGTGGATATTGAAAAATACTGGCTGAGAGTCAGCCCAATAGTCTAATGGTTAAGGGAACCAGATCTCATTTGGCTGACTGGTTTGAATCCCAGCCCCAACATCTTGAAAAATATCCCAGGCACCTGTGTATGTGTGCCCCAAGTCCCAACAAGTGAGAGGAACTGTGGCATAAGCACACCCCACTGGAGAGGGGTACTTTCTTCCTCTTCCTCTCTCTCTGATGAGGGCATATACCCTCTGGCAATTTAAAAAAAACTATTTGAACAATACCTAATGAGTAATACCACACTATGTTCTGTGAATAGACTTAAATTACATAAACTGGGTATCATTTCCTGATATTTTCTCCATTGTATTTAAGAATTTCCTAAGCCATCTTCTAAGAAGCACAAAACAGCCCTTCAAATTTAATAGCCAAATAGTCATGGAAATGCTGCCCAATATAAAGCTGAGGGATTCTCAGTAAATATATCCGCTTACCTTTGTCTCAAGGGATACCTCTGAGATGGCTTCAACCATACAAAACCTCTTTCTATCTTTTCACAGAACACAGTCTGGTAAATCTTTCAGACAAAGCACAAATTCCTACGTAAAGCATTTCAAGATCTATATTTCACTGCTCCCTAACTTCTCAGCCTTTTCTCTTGGCACGTCTCCACATCCCACCTACCACATATGCGGGCTATACCATCATGACCACAATTTCCTCGATGAAGTCCTCCATTTCCTACTTCTAACCTTTCTGTCTTCATCTCAGAGCCTTAATCTCTTTGCCACAAGGCTCAGCGCTCTAGTCTCTCCAATTCTGGTCCGTGCCGTACCCCTTGACGTGCTATCAAATCCCCTACAGCAATATTCAAGGCATTACTCTGTTTACCTCCATCCATCTTCTGGATGACTTTGTAAGTAAGTGTCTTTCTTATCTTTGTATCTTTTTACCTGGCACATAACAGTCATTCATTCATTGAATGGA